CTTTAAGCCCTCTTCAAGGCCCCCTTCAAGCCTCCCTTTACGCCCCCTTTAAGCCCCTTCAAGCCTCCCTTTAAGCCCCCCCTGAAACCCCCCCTTAAGCCCCCCTTAAGCCCCCCCTTAAGCCCCCCTTAAGCCCCCCCTTAAGCTCCCCCTTTAAGCCCCATTTAAGCCCCCTTTCCCCGCCGTCCCACCCCCAACCCCCCCGCTCTTTACTTCTTAAAACAAAAACAATCTCGTCTCGACTCCTCTGAGTTTTGAACAATGAAATACAAAAACAAAACAAGATTTGAGGGGGGTGAAATTTAGACTAAAGTCCTTTCTCTCTTCTCCCCTCTTTCCAATTCACAACAGGCAAAATGGGGGGGGCTGCGCCCCCCCCAACCCCCCCGCTCTTTACTTTTAGAAACAACAACTGTCTCGTCTCTACTCCTCTGATTTTCGAATAAGGAAATACACAAAAAACAAAAGAAGATTTGAGAAATTCGAGGGGGGTGGAATTTAGAATACATTCCCTTCTCCCTTCTCCTCTGAGTTTTCGAAGAATGAAATACGAAAAACAAAAGAATATTCGAGGGGGGTGGAATTTAGAATAAATTCTCTTCTCCTCTTTTTGCTTTAAGAAACAAAAAACAGTCTCGTCTCCTTTCAAGATTGAACAACCCAGGTTCAAGCCAGGTTCAACCCAAGTTCAACCCAGGTTGAAGGGGGCGGAATTTAGACTAAATTTCCTTCTCTCTCTTCTTGAAGAGAAGGTAATGTTTAAAGTCTCACTTCTCTGGCTTCCTTTAAGCCCCCCCTGAAACCCCCCCTTAAGCCCCCCTTAAGCCCCCCCTTAAGCCCCCCTTAAGCCCCCCCTTAAGCTCCCCCTTTAAGCCCCATTTAAGCCCCCTTTCCCCGCCGTCCCACCCCCAACCCCCCCGCTCTTTACTTCTTAAAACAAAAACAATCTCGTCTCTACTCCTCTGAGTTTTGAACAATGAAATACAAAAACAAAACAAGATTTGAGGGGGGTGAAATTTAGACTAAAGTCCTTTCTCTCTTCTCCCCTCTTTCCAATTCACAACAGGCAAAATGGGGGGGGCTGCGCCCCCCCAACCCCCCCGCTCTTTACTTTTAGAAACAACAACTGTCTCGTCTCTACTCCTCTGATTTTCGAATAAGGAAATACAAAAAACAAAAGAAGATTCGAGAAATTCGAGGGGGGTGGAATTTAGAATAAATTCCCTTCTCCCTTCTCCTCTGAGTTTTCGAAGAATGAAATACGAAAAACAAAAGAATATTCGAGGGGGGTGGAATTTAGAATAAATTCTCTTCTCCTCTTTTTGCTTTAAGAAACAAAAAACAGTCTCGTCCCCTTTCAAGATTGAACAACCCAGGTTCAAGCCAGGTTCAATTTTTTTCCGAGTTGAGCGAACAAATGCGATCCACCTTCTTGGTGATTGGGTTGTGAAAACCGTGCCTCTGTACTGGCACATCTGATGGCCCTCTTGGCCCTATAGTATAGGGGGAGGAAAAACACCTCCTCCTAAGCTACCATCCTCTTTGGGATGCTACCAGAGGTTGTACCTCATGAGAGGAATGAACCTCCTGGCAAAACGTTCCTCAGGGTTTCTGGTGCATTGGGTGCAAACCGTGAGAGGAAATCGGCCAGGGGTGTGTTCTCTGGCAGCGAGGATGAACCTCAGCTTATCATCCTCTTTGGGATGCTACCAGAGGCTGGTACCTCATGAGAGGTTAGGAACCTCCTGACAAAAGGGCCCTCAAGGCCTTTGGTGCACTCTGTGCAGGCTGTTAGAGGGAGGCGGTCAGGGGTGGTTTCTCTGGTAGCGAGGATGACCTTCACTTTATCCTCACTGGGAGGATGCAACCTCCTAAGTTGCTTCAGCTGCCGGTGCCTTCAGGGATTTTGCACAGGGGGTCTGCTGCAACTTGGGCTGTCCCTTTGCTAAACTTCAAGTCGCTCTTTTTCCTTGAACCGGTAAAGGCGCTGTCGGTAAAACATGAGTCACAAATCCACACATGCTCATCAACCCTTTGGGTTGGTAGGTGGGGTTCCCAGGTAGTAGAAAAACTTTACACCCCGCCTTGATGTTGTGCGAACTGTAAGCTCAACATCACTCTACAGTAACGGGTTTGTAGAAACTGTACAGGTATGTCGTTGGGCTCATCTGGTATTGTGCGATGGCCTCGTTGTGCTCTCCCTATTGGAGTCCTTGCACTCGGTGAAAACTGTTCCCACTGCTTCCTCGTGGGTAACACTTCGCTCAGGTAAGCTTGTGCTCGTTGTAGCTCACACTGTACGGAAAAGTGAAACATTCCATCATTCACTCACATGGTCCCGGGCCTGCAATTGCCACAAGGACGGTAGTGCAATCTCGCATGCACTGCTGCACTGTAAGTGAATCTCTCTGACCTTTGCACATCTGCACATGTAGGTCGGTGGTACCTCTTGCCATGAGGCGTGTACACATACTGGGGTTGTGCTCGTAGCTGTTCGTCCACATCCTGTGCCATAGGAATGATATTAACCATTCCCCATTCTTGAAATCGCCTTGCAAGCTCTTCGTCATTCACATGGATTTGGCTTGCTGGTACTGTACTGATTCCAGGCATCCCATTACCACTGCCTGTCGCTGAATCCTCTGGTGCATCACGGAAATACATATTGACTGCCCTTGCTGTACGTTGAACATCATCCTCATCGGGCGGACAATACTTTTGCACAAATCTTCGAATAGTGAATTCCTCCTGCGGTTCCTGTGGTCCTTCTTCCTGCGGTTCCTGTGGTCCTTCTTCCTGCGGTTCCTGTGGTCCTTCTTCCTGCGGTTCCTGTGGTCCTTCTTCCTGTGGTTCCTGTGGTCCTTCTTCCTGTGGTTCCTGTGGTCCTTCTTCCTGTGGTTCCTGTGGTCCTTCTTCCTGTGGTTCCTGTGGTCCTTCTTCCTGTGGTTCCTGTGGTCCTTCTTCCTGTGGTTCCTGTCGTCCTTCGTTCACCTTCTGCTCGACCATGTAGAACAAGAGTAAAGCGAAAATTCCTCCTAGTAGCACACTGAAAAGAATAATCCATCCACTCACTTCCTTCACATAGATGAAAACAAATTCTCGTTCTTCTCGTTCTCGTCCTCCAAAATCGTCTGGCTGTCCTGCAATCTGAGAAATCATATTCACCATCATTGTCAAGTACATCGCTCTAGCCGTCTTGCTTCCACGCTCATTCAACAAAGTTGCACGTAGTGCTCGAACTTGGCTTCGGCAAACTTCACCTGCCACATGTTCCATTGCTTCTTCTTTCCCATAACGCTCATGACTTTCTCCATTCCACACCATGGCTCCAATATGGTACATGAGAAATCTCCTTCGAGATACTCCTAAGCGCTTTGTATTCAAGTCGGCAATGTTTAATTTGGTAGGCACTGGCTTTGCTTTGAAGCTGTTGTTCTTCACCCCTCGCTGAAGCCATAATACTCTCAGATCGATATGTTTGAGTCCTCCGACTCCTGTTCGCATCATCCACTGTCTTCCCGCACTTGAATCCATCCGGATCTCCACGAGTAACTTTCCTGCAAGAAACATCCACAACTTCTTCAGTAACATCGCTTCTGATGCTCCTCCTGAGCATGCTAGCACTTCGGACTCTGCCGAACTTAAAGCTGTAGCTTTCTGGGTCCTGCTATACGAAAGTACTGGCACTGCATTCACACACACAATCACTGATGATGTAGACCATCTCGCTTCACGGTCTGATGCCCAATCTGCATCCGTGAATACTTCCATACTGTGTGTTCCTTTCTTTTCTTCGTCTTCTTCTTCTTGCTCTTCTCTTTGATAGATCGCATCCATCATCTTGTTTCCACCCTTTGTGTACTTCAGTAGGAATCCCAGTTGCTCTGTTCCTTGCACATAGAGCAAAGCTTGTTTCAAACAGGTTAACGCTTGTTCCGTTGGCTTCGACATCTTACTTGCCAAACACTTCGTCACATGCTGCAAATCCCATCGGTCTTGGGAAATGTACAACAGTGTTCCCAACGCTGAACGAAACTTCTTGCACTCGTTCTCCTCCAGTTCTTTGGAATTGTCCACTGTTCCAATCAGCTGGTGCTCTGGGGTTTGTCTTGGCTTTCGGTTCCCCAGCTTGTAGAGTCCTCTAAGCTTCTCGTAGTGCTTCTTCGACACTGTCACCAAAATTCCTTCTTCAGGTAATGAAGCTGTTCTCCCGATCCCCGGTGGGATGGGAACGGTCCCTCAACTGTGAGCTTGAAAAACTTCTCTAGCTCGCATATCAGCCATCTTCCTTCGCCTTTTGCACCTGCAACTAGCTCGTCGTCGACATGAATCGACACTGCAATCTTCTTCACTCGGTGCTTCAAGATTGAGGGTATCCCAACAAATTGCTCAAATCCCAAACGCTTCAAAATCTCAACCAAATGGGTAAACCATTGTTCTGCCGCTGATCTTTGCCCTGGCAGACACTTCTCCACTTTCCATACGTGGTCTTCATCCAAACCAAGTAGTGTTCGAATCCACGGTGAGATATCAGCATACATCAGAGCTTTCTGCGTGACTTGCAAGAATGCGTCACGAATGTCAAGAACTGTAAGCTCCCAATTGTAGATGAGATGAAAAAGAAACATCATTCGCACTGCTGCGTGTCCTGACGTAGGACTAAAAGTCTCCTCCGTGCTCTGGGCTCCCGCACGGAATTCCCGACACACAATTCTGCATCTACGCTTCCAAACTCCATCTCTCTTTCTCCAATCGAAAACTGTCCTTAGTGTCAGAAACTTACCTTCCTCTGAACACTCTTCCTTCTTGATCGTCTTCACAACCTTCATGTTGGCGAGTTTGTCAAGTTCAGCTTTTCCTGCCTCTGCATCCAATCTTTCAAGTTCCTCTTCGCTGCCTTTCGGTGGTCGATCCTCATCTTCTTCTTCTCCTTCACTATCCGCTTCATATTCCTCTTCGCATTCCTTCCAGACTCTTTCTTCCCAAAGGTCATCTTCATGCTATCCTGTTTCGTCTTCCTGTTCTTCTACCTGTCCGGCGTACAACGGTGGAAATAGACTTCCTTTCGGACTTCCAGGATCAGCACTTGTAGGTGAACTTTCCGCAGTCTTTTGTTGCTTCGTTGGTGGCTCCTCAGCATCTGCTGCTTTACTAGCTTTCGCAGGTTCCTCTCTTTCTTCTCCTTCAGTTTCTCTCTTTTGTCCCCCGCCTTGGTTGGAATCCGTTGATGAACTTCGAGGTGTAGGTTGACCACTGCTCAGCAATAGATCACTGATTGTGTCATGCTTTGAACTTTCCACATCAGATCCTGCTTCATCTCCTGCTGGCTCTGGCTCATTTTCTCCTCCTTCTTTCTCTTTGCCTGGTTCTTCCACGATTCTCGGTAACGGTGCCGCATGCGCGGTGTGCCCTAGCCTTGGGGCTTTCTTCGTCCAAGGAGAACCTTGAAGTTGAAGGGTCTCACGTGCGCGCCACGCTGGTTGTGTGCGCCGCACAGATCTTGACGTAAAGATCCCATCTTTTGACGTAATCACGTCCATGTCCCGGTCGTCCTTTCCAACCCATATTCCTCCTGTCCACAAGGATCGATTCTTCACTCCTCCAGGCTTGGCCAGACCAAACACATACTCTCCGAAGGGTAAAATCTGCCCTTGGTATGGTCTCCCGTAGACCAATTGGAAAGCTGTACTCTGCGTCCCTGAGTGTAGGTGGTACCTGTTGAACAACCATGCTGCGTGGTGAATTGCCCACGCTCGTAAAGCATGATCTTCAGGAATCTTTTCCCCAATCCGATCCTCGACCATTTCAATCATCGTGAGGCTTTGTCTCCTGAGGTTCTGAATGTGGCGTTCCACTCTCGCTGTTCTTCCTTTGTGGTAGGGCTTGTTTGGATACTTTCCAGCCTTGTAGCCTAACTTTTGTCGTATTGCTACAATCAAATCCAGTAAGGCTGTTGTCGCTGGCTCCACATCAATCGCAAACAGAACTTCTTCGGAAATGTAGTTCATCTCGAGAGAAAACTTCACCACTTTCTCGGCCAACTTCTTCGTCGGTGCTTTCCCCGGCACTGGAATCGCCCACGAAAATCGAGTCCATGAATCAAGAATGATCAGACTCACACTGCTCTGACCCATGTACATGAAGTCCATCTGGATCACTGGTTTTCCTGGGTCTTCATACTTTGCTTCACTGCTTTGTGGGGTATGGTCCTGTTTCGACTTTGCTGCTGCACAGAAATCGCACCATGGTTGCATTGGCATGTGGGTTGCCATATGCTCTTCAATCTCTGCTTCTGTCGGTTCGGGCACTCCGGGTCTTGTTCTTGCTTTGGGCCTTTGCTTCCTCAGCCTGTCTGCAACTTCTTCTGCGTCCTCATCTCTGTCTTCGGTGAGGTAGTTGCACAGTCTCCTGAACATCTTCACCTTTGACCCTGAGACGCTCAAACCCAAATACCGACAACCTTCTCGCAGCTTCTCAATCTCACTCGTTGCTGTGAGTGACTCTCCATTCACCACAATAGTACTTCCCATGTCGAGTTCCAACTCTTGGTGTCCTCCTGCCTTTCCTTGCTGCTTCACAACTCCTTTCGGCACTGGCACCTGCAACTCTTCTGGAGCTCCTCTTTCTCTTCCAAACCATTCTGGCTCCTCTTCCATCTTCTTTTCTTCCTCCTTTGGTGCTTCTTCTGGTGCTACCTCTTCTACCAAGCACTTGTCCAGATACTCTGGTGTCCTGTGCAAGAATGTGAGAATTTCTGATCGAAAAAGCAATCCCGGTATTCGATCTTCCAAGTCGGATTTTCGCTCGAGCAATTCCGTTGCTTCAATCACTTCCCATTCGTTGCCCACCTTCACGATGGTGGTCCTGTACTTCCAAGTACCTGTCGGTGGCTTTACAAACTCAAGTCCAAAATGGCGATGGACTGGCGTTCCATTCGGTAGAAGGCTCCAATCCTTCTCTGGGACTTTACCAAAGTCATAGGCCAAAGTCACCTTGACTGCCCTGACTTGCTCGACTCCTCTAACTTCCGCTGTCAATCTCAAGCTATTCCTCTGGTATTCCACAGGCACCCGTGCCTTACCATCGGGAGATACAAGTTCCCCCGCCTGGGTTTCTTCTCCCCAGGTCTCGCCCCCTTGGCGCTGTTTGCATCCCACTGACACAAACTTCCATCCATTTTTGAGTAGCCTTCCTAAAGACAGCAAGATGTTATTGGTGTCCGACAACACAAAGTCCTCAGTCACACTGCAGCTACTGAACTGCAAAACTGCTCGCCGCATACCTTCAACTCGCATCGCACCCCCTTGTGCGTCCTGCAACCTCAGAGAGGTTGGGGTCGAAACTTCGACGCCTGCATCCGACAATCTTCGTGGTAACAAACTCACATCTGCTCCTGAATCCAAGATCACCACATGTTGCTTTGTGTCCAACTGGACCATTCGCACATTGAGAGGTTCCGATCCTCCCTGACTCAGAGGTTCCAATCCTCCTGGAGGTCCCAATCCTCCTTGAACTCTTTCCAAGCTGTTTTCATACCATTGATACAGCTCATCACTCTCATGATCTTGTTTGTTCTCACTCTCATCCCCGATGTAGTAGCACTCTGGTCCTTGCACCTCTATCCTTCTGGTGAACCAATCACCTTCTTCTTCTGAAACTTCGCTAAGCTCATAGTGCTCTGTGCCGTCAGGTGGTGTGTTCGCAATGTGATGGAAATCAATGTTCCTCACTCTCCTTATCCTGTATTGGCTCGCACTCTGCGACGGAGTAACAGACTCGACTGTCGAGTGGGGTACCTCGGTGCTGGCCTCGCTCGCCTGCACTTCTCGAACATTGCGGTTTGGACACTCGTTTCCCCAATGTCCTCGCTGCTTGCAGAATCGGCAAACATCTCTGTCCAACTTCTTTCCTCCACCTTTCTTTCCTCCTTTGCCATGCTTTCCACCTTTCTTTCCGCCTTTCTTTCCTCCTTTGTGGAAACCTTTGCCTCGTCCTTTCTTTCCTCCTTTGTAGCTTCCTTTTCGTCCACCTTTTCTCCATTGGCGAAATCCTGCTCCAAAGCTTGACCACGAGTAGGATCCTTTTCCTCCTTTGTTTCCTTTGTTGCCTTTGTTTCCTTTTCCTCCTCCTTTCTCGTACACTGCATCCACTTCCATTGGTGCTGGTCCTTGATCTGCATTCGAACTGCTCGCTGTGTTCTGCAAGGTCTTTTGCTTCAACACCGTCTGGTAATCCCAAGTTTTGCTGCTTTGCTCGTATGAAAGAATCGCTTGCTTCACTGACATGTAGTTTGTTCCTTCGGGCATTGTCAAAGTAAGGTGGTCTCGAATCGCCCTCGGTGAACATCGAAGCAAAACTCCCATCAACAAATCTCGATCGTAGGTCTTTCCTGAAGCGATCTCGTACTCCCGAACAAGGCTTTCCAGTGAACCAATCTGTTCCACCATGCTCTTGGCCCCATCGAAGTTGGGAAACATCCCAATCGCTTGACTGAGGGTTAGAGCTCGTTGTTTGGTGGCTGGTTGGTATTCCCAAAGCAAACTTTGATAGAGACGATACCCACATCGCTCCCTGCTCCAATTTCGAGACAGTTGCGTTGCTGCCCCCCGCATATACGAAGTCAGTATGTGGTAAAGCTTTGTCGAAAGTTCTCTCTCCACTGTAGTGAGAGTCGAAACATCGATCGGCGTTGCTCCCAGACTTTCAATCATACTTAGAGCTTCTGAGTACTGCGAATCGGCAAAACCTAGCCAATTCAGAAACTGATGTTTCCAGGTTGTAAAATCCGGTGGATGTTCTCCCGAGGCTTGTGGGTTCCAAACATCTGGTGCCTTGATCGCCTTTGTCGCACTTTCAATCCTTCGGTTCAGATCATCCGAACTGCTTGCTTGTTGCTCCAACCTTTGTAGCGCACTCATTCCAACTTGGGTCGCCCTTGTCAATGCAGTCAGAATTTCAGAAAGTTCTGTGGGTTGTTGGGGTGGTCCATTCTGCTGCATCCCTTGCACTGCAGAAAACTGTAACACGACAAGCACACACAGCATCGCTCCTCTCTGTTGTTTTCTCACACAAGCACACGAACGCAAGTGATCTCTCCGTGCCCCTCTGCTCAAGCGCCTCCGAAAACATGAATGTTGCAATCTCCACAAACATGACTGACGACATGACTGCAAGTGCACTGTCGCTTGCAAACATCCAATGCACAACATGATCGCACCTGATACTCCAAGCATAAGCATCATTGCCATTGCTCCATTGTAATCGAATTGCATAGTCTTGGGGTCGTAGAGGTTCTTTGCTCCTGGAATGCTGGTCCAAATCCACATCACCAATGGATCTCTTGTTCCATTCATAGTCTTGTCGGAGTAGAGGCTCTTGTTTGTACATAGGCCATAGAATTTTGATTCCTCCTGGTAGTCGATCTCTGTTTTCTCCTCCTGGTAGTCGATCTCTGCTTTCTCCTTCTGGTAGTCGACCTCATTGTCCTGACCAATCTCCCCATTCATCTTCCTCACTTCCAGGGTTTGGCTCCTCGCCCCTTTCTCGCATTCTTCTCCTTTCTGTTCTCCTCCAAGGAGAATTCGGGTAGAGCGTAGTGGCTTGCGTTGCTCCCACTCGCTTCGGTGGTGGTCCCTTTGGCTCTGGAGGTGGCGCCTTGCTTCCAGCAGGTCGTTCCTTCGGAGGTGGTCCTCTGGAACTGCTCCCTGGTTCAGCTCTCGCATCTTCCATCCTGGGTTGTAGGGTCCCAGGCCCCGTCCTGGGTTGTAGGGTCCCAGGCCCCGTGTCTCGGCTGGAACTCGCTGTTCCACTGCTTTGGCTTCGCTGGCCGTACCTGGCCCGAAAGTATGCAACTCCACGAGCAAATTCCTTGGATTCCCTGGCTCTTGCTTCGTCTCCTGAAGGAATTGCACCGGCACGTCTTGCAGCATACTCTTCCTCGTTCCGGCGGATGTGTTCCGCCACTGCTGCGTTGCTGGGTTCCCCGTCCAGCGTGTGAAGAGGAAGTTTCGTACCACACGGCATTGGGTCCGGAGGTGGACACTCTGGAGCTCGTTCTTGTCCTGGCGGTGGACACTCTGGAGCTTGCTCTAAACCGAACTGGCTCCTGCAAGGCTCGCTCCCTTGCTCGCCGTTGGATCCTTTCAGCTTCCGCTGAGAGTGCAGAGAGTCTCTCCAGCTGCCTACGCCTGCGTTGCTCAGCAGACACTTGCTGCTCTTGCAGCTCCAAGGCGATGTGCCCAGACGAAAGTGTTCTCGGCTCCCTTCTTGGTGTAGGTGGTGCCTCTTGGTACACCATTGTAGTTTCGGGGCTAGAGGAACTAGGACTCCCGATCTCCACTGGCCCGTCTGGTTCTCCTCCTTCCAAGGGAATGTAATCTCTTCCTTCCACCACTGGTCGTTCGGGCTTCTTCTTCGGCTTTGGAGGCATATAGCTTGGTGCACTTCCACTTCCTTCAGCTGCACTGCTTGCTGAAGATCCGTAGCCTTTTCCCATGCCAACACGGTGAATTTTGATCTCCTTTCTTCGTGGCTCCATTTCTTCTTCTTGTTCCACTTCTTCCATGGGCTCTGCGGGTTCCATCGGCTCCATGGGTTCTGTGAGTTCCATTGGCTCCATGGGTTCTGTGAGTTCCATGGGCTCTGTAGGTTCTGTGGGCTCCATTGGCTCCACAGCATCAGGGTTCCAACCCAAACCATCATCACGGCCACGAGGCATGGCTTCGGTCCCGGATGCACAGTGTGCTCCGCTACCATGCTAAACTTCAAGTCGCTCTTTTTCCTTGAACCGGTAAAGGCGCTGTCGGTAAAACATGAGTCACAAATCCACACATGCTCATCAACCCTTTGGGTTGGTAGGTGGGGTTCCCAGGTAGTAGAAAAACTTTACACCCTTGCACCTGCTGAAAGAGGCTGCGGATGGCATTGGTTGGCTCGGGCTTAAACTGCGCCTTGCACCTGGGGTCCTTTTTAAAACTGCATGCAACTGAAAATTTTTGCGAAACATTTTTAGTCTTCAAGGACAACTGTCCACCACAACCTTCGCAGACCCACAGTTGTCTGTCCCCTAGCAGTTTTAAAACATGTGTAACATGTACTCCTTCAACCGTCACTCTGCCTTGGTGTGTGCATTGGTGCGCTGCCAGTGCTTCCAAGGTTTTGCGGTTCTTTGTGTGCAGGAGTTTAAGTTGACACTGAGCACACCGGAGGTTGAGACCTTCCCATTCCCACGCATGCACAGGTTTGGTCCGGACCAGCTCCTGGAACCATTCCTGTTGGGTGGTGATGTGGCCTCTCCCTATGTTGGAGCCAATGCGCTTTTTGCAGGGCCTGGAGGTGGCCTCGTTGCTCTTGCGAGCCTGCTTTTCCTGCAGGAAGACCTTATACACTGGGTGCTGATTTTCCCCAATGGCAGTAAGGACCTTTTCCGCCCTGCTCGCCAGGAATTCTTGTGCTTTTTTGCTGCAATGGTCCTGGTACTGACTGGCTGCCCGGACATCAGGGTGGGCCAGCTCGGCCGCTTTTTCCCCACACAGCTTGTCCGCCAGGTCATTGACCTGCTGTCTCCACGAGTTTTCCGCACCCACCTTCCGGAGGAACTCCTCCTCTGAAACATGGGATGGAACCCATTTCATTTTGAGGCGGTTGACATCCGTGGTTTGCAGCTCCCACCAGATATCACCGTGGGTCTTGCCCGGCTTTGGGCTGCGGACTCGTTTCGGGACACCAAGGCAGTCTAGTGTCGTGTCAACAGGGCCTTCGGTATAACGGGCCAGCTGCAAAACGGCATACAGCTCCCCCCGAAAAACCGTCTGTGGTCCAGGGACTTGGCCAACTATTGCTCCTACCTGGACATCCTTAGGGCCTTGCCTTTTGCAGGCTACTACTGCATAAGCTACCCGCCGGAGTCTCGGGTCCGCCGTATAGGGCCCCCCGCTAGCATCAGTGCCATACACAAGCTCCGGGTCATTGAGGGCCTCTTTGTTTGCCCATACACCCAGAAAGATGGGATTGTCCTCCTGTGGAGGCTGTACCTCCCATTTGGGTTTGGGCGGGAGGCCCCTGGTCCACAGTGATCTCGGGCCTTGGGCCCTGCCGTCCAGCAAGTTGAAGCCTGGTTCCAGCTCAAGAAGAGGTGGGCCGGCAAGGAAGACCTGCTGGAAAGAACCTGGGGCCTTACCGTCCAAAAGCTGGAAGAAGCCAGCAGCCGGTGGCAAATGGTTAAGGGCCCTCTTGCAGCTACCGTCGCATACCTGCTTGACCTGGGTTGGCAGCCTAGAGACAGTGCTGAGTGGCTGGACACCCAGGGCACCAGGCACACCATGTACACCCCACAGCAGGAGTGTCGTGTCCTTGACCTCCTCCAGCAAACCTACCAGAAGGAGGTGAACCGCCGCATCGCCACTGGTCTTGCTGCCCCTGAGCTACAGGAGGGAGTCGACTGGACGGTAGGGAGGAAATTGCTGGGGGAGTTCAAGAAAGAAGGTCGAACCACGAAAGCAGCTGCCCTGAGGTGCGTCTGGCAGGGTGCCTTGGTTTGCAGCCAAAACTCTGCTGTCAAAGTGTGCCCCCGATGCCACGAGGAAGCAGATTGGGAGCATGTCCTCCTGGATTGTGCCTGGTGAAAGGCCCAAAACTGGGAGTTGCCAACATGGTTCCAAGAACATCATTGTGCGACCCGGATCCTGGTACCTGTCGCCTACAGAGGACAGAGCCACCTCCAGGTTGCCCATTTTCTGTCTGCCACACTGCTCAGCCAAGGCAGTCCGGAGCTTCTGTCTCCGGGTGGGCGGCATTCCCTGGGCTTGGTGGCCCCAAGTAAGGACGGAGGCAACCCCTCCTCTGAAGAGGCGAACCTTGGCCGGCACACCCGGGACTTTCAGTTGTTTCAACTTCTTCTGCCGTTGGCCCGCTTTGTGCCTGCGGGCTCTTTGCACCTTGACCCTCCGGACCCGACCCAGGGCACAGTCCAGGCCTAAGTCTTTCATACTATCGCAGATAGCCGGGTCCCCATCTTTGCGCAGCTTCTGTAGTTCCCTTCTGGCTTCCGCGGTGGTGCACAGGAAGCCGGTTTTCTTGAGGGACAAACGGAGGTCGCTACCTTCCAGAAGCCGGCGAAGGGTTCTGTAACCTTCATAGACCGCAAACGCTGCCTGCTCAGGATATCGTGCTTCGAAATCCGCTCCGATGTCATCCACCCAGGTGTCTAAGGCGGTGATACTGCGGAGCCGAGCGGCTTCTTGCATTATTGGCTGGAGGTAAACCCTGGCCATCATTGTTGCGAACGGGCACCCTGCTAGGATGCCCCTCGCAGGGAGGATCCCCTCCGAAAGGAGATCCTCTGCCACGAGATATCTCGTTCCCCGGTAGACTTGCATGACCAGGGGCTATAGCTGGCGGGAAGCCAGTCGCCACTATCCGCTCCTCCAATTTGGTCCAATTGACACTGTCATAGAAGGTCTGCAGGTCCAACAGGACCGCACAGGCATGTTTGTTAGCTGCGCGGCTAACCTCTCCTCTCAGGAGTCTCTGCATGCCTGTTTCAAGACAAGTGTTACCCGGGGAGGCTTTATCCCATGGGAACCTCTCTGCAGTTTCACGCATCCATTTCTTGACGACCTGTGCTCTGCAGAAGCACCAAAGCCGATAGGTGATGGATGTGAGGGTTATGGGCCTTTCTATGTCAGCGTTTTTGGGCAGGAGTGCCACATGGTGCGCCTGCCAGTGCTGTGGCGCCACTCCTGTGGTTTCAGCCAAGTTCAGGACTTGGGTGAGCTGCTCATAGGCCGGTCCAGGGAGGTTTTTGAGGGCAGCATAGGTGAGCCCATCAAGACCTCCCGCTTTGTCGGTGACATTCTTGAGGATGGCCTCGAGCACCTCTGCTGTGCGGGGAGGACTTTGCTGCATCCAGCAGGGTCTGGCCGATCGGGGGGGAACATTCTACCTCTCCCCAAATTGCGACCCATTGCTTCCTCCTGGCCCCTGGGCGCTCTTCGCCTGGGAGGTTTTGGAAGGGCCGATCCAGGACTCTCTCACTCTTCTTGAGAGAACTGTAGAGAGGTCTCATCCCTTTCGCTAATCCCGCTTGGAGCCAGTCCTTGTATTGGGCCTGCTGCTCCTTGGCTCTCTGCATCTGGAGGGCCGCCTCCTTGTGCCTGGCAACAACACTCAAAGACCGCCACTGTGGTGCTGTTGCTGAACATTGCTGGTACAGTTCTGTGAGGAAGGCAGTACCTTCAGCAATGTCTTGGCAGGCTTGCAGGGTGCACTTCTTCCAGGATTCTGGCTACGCGTGCCCACCAGCCCACTTCAGAGCCTTTGGGGGCAGTGGAAGGGCGCTGCAAGACTAAGGGTCCCCATTGGGCCTGCACACACCAACCTCTGCCAGTCCTCGGTGCCTCGTGGCAGTGCTCCAGGCTGGCCGCCCAGGTCGCCAGCTGCCAGGTGCTCTGGTCCTCTTGGGCACAGGTCCTGTCCATTATGGCGAAATGGGAGGGTTGGACCTCTTGCCATTCTTGGTTTTTGAGGTCTGCTGTGAGTTTCGGGAACTGGGGAAGTTTCCAGGATTTCCATTCGCTGGCACCGTCCTTGACTTTGAGGTGCAAGGCTGCATGTGGTTTCCACGGGACTGCCCAGGTAGCAGACAGATCCACCAGGGCTTCCAGGCTCCTACTCACCACCCCAAAGTCCAGCTCCGCCCCATGGTTGCATGTAGCTTCTCCAGTGGCTACCATCCGCCCCCGCATCACCTGAATCAGCGCTGTGTCCTGAACTTCTGTCGGGTCCAGGTTCCAGTCCCCCAAGATGATCCAGGGCTCCGGGAGGGTTCTTACGAAAGCCACCAGAGAGGATAGCACCTCTGCATTCGTGGGACCATTCAGGCCTTCCGTGTCCCTCAGGTAGAGGGACACAATCGTGTAGTCCCACCGTCTTTGTCTCAGACCCACTGCTGTGTAGCCCGCCCCTTTGCATTGGTAGGTGGCTTTTTGCCACACTCCGCTATTTTTGGGAAAGGCACAAGCAGTGCCCCCCAACCTTGTGCCCTTGTCCGACAGGGAGGCCGGCTCAGCATAGAGATCCCATCCTAGGGATTGCAGTGTGGCTCGCCTTCCATGCAGCAGTTCCGGTGTGAGGTGGGTTTCCTGCAGACACACCACCTTGGCTTTGGAGGAGGTTACCCACTCCAACGCCCCGTTGTTGAAACTGGTGACATTGGCGCTCATGATGCTTAGATACTGGTCAGGCGAGGCTGAAGGTTTAACCTTCTCATGGCTGGGCTCTTCTGAGTCGGTGCCCTCGCCATGCGGAAGGTCTTCCTCGCGTTCCTGCTGACCCAGCACCTGTTCCGGTGTCAGGGGCTCCTCACTCTTTGGGAGCTCAGAGGTTATCACCTCCTTTGCCTGTTGGATGGCTTTCCCGGTGACATCCTCTCCTTGCTCTAGGGCATGCAGGGCCAGGGAGTCCTCCGCCATCACCCCCTCTTGGGCTTCGATGAAGCTTAGAAGGGTGGCTTCCTTCGCCTGGAAGGGGCTCGCTTGGTCTTCCAAGAGGCTGACCACCTCCTGCCATGTCATCTCCGAACCCAAATCTTCTGGGCTGCAGAGGGAAGGTATCACCTTCTGGGCTTCATCATTCCATTGTGGCGGGGGGGGGGCCTTTGGTAAC